ACGTGTTTTATTTTTATGGACGACGTAGTTTGCGCAGAAAGGTTCAAGGCTAAAAGCCTTTTTTTAACAGCCTCCTTGAACTGTCGTTCCCTTATCAAAGTTGTCTTAACGAAATATATCGGCTGAACTATCCTATAAATGTGCTTTGTTTAGTAAGGTAAAGCGGTGCCAAACTACCCCCACCTGATTTAAGAACGAATATCTTGACTTCTATTCAAGATAGATAGTGAATTTTCCATCAAAAGCAAAACATACCAAACACGATTTAGAATGATATCCATGACTCCACATGCCCTGAAATTGACGAGAGCCTGGTTCCACCACGTCGTAACACAATAACCCTAGGGATTTGAAGATCCACACTGATGACACTCGTAGACGTATTGGAAGCATCCAATGACAATTGGGATATCTTCTAAAACGAAGTCGTCGTATCAAAAAACAGGATTGTTTTACATGACATATACCAACCTTAGTTTTATTTTCGACCTTCCTCCCGAAACAGAAGCACAAAAATAAAAATATGGCATGACGTAGTGGAATCAGGCTCTCTTCGATTTGGGGGCATATGGGGTTATTGGTATACTTTCAAAACTGTTTATCTATCTTGCGTTTAGTGAAAAAAATATCAATCTATATTGAATAGAAGTCAAAGTATTTGCGATTGAAGGAAGAGAGGGTTGTCTTGCTTCAAAGGTAAATTTGGGACTCAAAAAGTGGCCACCAAAGTTTTGTAATTCCCACAGCTTCAGAGTCCTTTGGGAAATGAAAATTTACGAGTTGTGTACCTTCATTCAATGATTTTCTGTAAAAATCTACACAGAAATGTGTTTTTAAAGGGATATAGAGGGTTTTGAGCCCAAAATCTTTTTTTAAAATTGTCAAACGGACAGTTAAATGCCAGTTTCCTTGATTTCATTATTTTGACGAGCGCCTGATTTCACCACGATGAATCCGAAACGATTTAACCCGACTGCAGGTAACCCAATGCCTATTTTGAAAAACAAACGGGTATTATGATTAAATTAGACATCTGCTGATGGCTGTCTTGGAGACAGGAAACAGAATGGTTTACATCTTAGAAAGGGAAAGGAATACGAAGGATTGTTTTGAGGCGGGGGGGGGGGGGCAACCAAGACCAGAAGGAATGAACTTTCATTATACGAACCGGGTTTTTTCATTTGCAAAATCTAAAAACAAATTCTAGTCGTTGTTTATGCGCGAGAAAATATCAAACTGATGATAATATTATGTCTTCGAGGTGAAACGTGATATCAAAAAGGTTAAGATCTTCGTTGAGGTTTTTGTTTCTCTGTTTCTTGGATATCTTATGTGCCTTTGTAATGATGTCTTCCTTTTTCAGCTCTGTAATAAGCTTACGCGGAGGGCGTTGTTGTTTTGAAGTACGTCTTTTCTTATTATGGAAACTGTCTATGCAATTTGAAAACGCAGGGCGGGATTATGCCTCATTTCTGAAAGCTCAGTAATTTTCTTTTTTAAAACATTATGAGAGGAAATAATAGATATAGAAAAGAGTCGAAGTTTAATGTTTTCCCAAAGTTTCACATACTTACTGACATGTTCTTTATTTTTCAACCTCTTCTATGTCTGTCTGTCTGTATGTCTCTCACTCTCCCCCCCCCCCTCCCCCTCTCTCTCTCTCTCTCTCTCTCTCTCTCTCTCTCTCTCTCTCTCTCTCTCTCTCTCTCTCTCTCTCTCTCTCTCTCTCTCTTTCCTTTCTGCCTCCAACCTCCTTTTCAAAATCTAAAGTCCAATGCAAGTCCGACCCCATCAGAACAGATCGCCCAGACCCTCTTTCCAATTGATTACTAGGTTCCCGAGCTTTTAACCTATCCTATTCCCGGTAAGGACATGGAAGGGTATTGGGCTTTCACACTGAGGGGTCGCGTTCCTCGAGGACGCTGAATTGTAGATCACCCAGTGCAGAGCAGGAGAAAGGTGTTAATTTGACAAACGAAACGTCTTGCTCTACACCTCCCCCTACCCTCCACACACAAACACACACGCACACTAGACGCACTTTATCTCCCCCCCACCTTCTCTCTCTCTCTCTCTCTCTCTCTCTCTCTCTCTCTCTCTCTCTCTCTCTCTCTCTCTCTCTCGGTCTGTCTCGTTCTTTTTAACTGTCTGTCCCTCACTAAGTCTATGTTTTGCGTTCTTCCTTTGTGTCTGTCTCTCTCCCAGTACTCTTTCTTACCCTATGATTTCGTTGTGAAGGTGTTTTTGTTTCTGCTTGTTTGTTCGTAGAGTGCTTAGAGAGGTGGGATGTCTTTATGATGTCCCATGATTCCCCCCTCAAAATCCCTGTCCTGTTCTAGCAACAATCTATCTATCTATCGATCTATCTATCTATCTATCTATCTATCTATATATCTATCTATCTATCGATCTATCGATCTATCTATCTATCTATCTATCTATCTATCTGTCTGTCTATCTATCTATCTATCTATCTATCTATCTATCTATCTATCTATCTATCTATCTATCTATCTATCTATCTGTTTGGTTTTGGTTTTGTTCTTTGGTGAATGTTTGTTTTGTTTTGTTTTGTTTTGTTTTGTTTTGTTTCTTTATTTTCCTTCGGCTCTGATAACTGTGCGAGGGTGCAGACGTAACAATAAATCAAAATCTAATATAATCGGTTTTTGTACGGACTCACTTGTGTTCGTTAACTGAGTGTCTATGGTGTTACCTGAAACCTAAACCTTTAAAGCATAAACTAGTCTTTTTTAAGAGATGGGAGCTCTCTGATAATATTTTGTGTCTGAATAGATTATTACTTTTTCGTACGGTATGGAGATTACCTGCAACGCAGAACTGCTGTTATTGTTGTTGTTGTTATTGTTGTTGTTGTTGTTGTTATTGTTGCTGCTGCTGTTTTTGTTGCCAATGTCGTAGTTGTTATTATTATTGTCAGTTTTTACGATGATGATAATGATGATGATGATGATGATGATGATGATGATGATGATGATGATGATGATGATGATGATGATGATGATGATGATGATGATGATGATGATGA